GTGGGCAAGGTGCCCTCAGCCCTGGCGTCGACTCCAGATGTTGATGATAAATGTAATAGGAAGCCTGTTACCATCCTGGGATCTGACTTAATTTTGTTACTGACAAAGTTCTTTGATCAGTTGTTAATCTACAGTCAGTTTTGACAGATGTGACTGAAGGCTTTAGAAAGAACCTAATGATTTTAATGGGTAACTTTATGTTAAAAAAATCTGAAATGCCATCTCTTCAATAACTATTTGGCAATGTGCTGATCTAAATGTCTGTATTTTTCATGGGTCAAAGAAGAACTTGAAGATATTGCTCTTAATTAATGTCAAATTGCCCTTCAACATTAGCACTGCGGAGCCTACAGTACACACACTGTGACTGTCTGTATCCGAGAAATTAAAATAGTTAGTGACCAGCTTTTTTTACTGTTGTTTCTCTCCATAATCATTTTCAGGTTTGCAGTGTATATAATTGTGAGAATTAAAGGTGAGAAATCCAGGCAATTACACATTTGAAAATACATCCCAGGCAACATGTCGAACCCTTCACTCGTATATTAAATTCACTGTAATTACAAAGCTACTAGTTATCTTGATGTTTTTACAATATCAACAATGATAACATGATTGATGCATAGATGCACTTGGAACTCAATAGACCAATAATTAAAGTAATGAAATATTAGAAATGCAGGGTGCTAAACATATATTGGGCAAGTAAAGAGGAGTGCAATTATTGTCTGAAATAATAAAACAGATACTTTCAGGCAGGAGGTCACACGACACTGTACTATTTGATTCAGATTGATTACTATCAAGGATGGACTAAAGGCTACAGACTGGTCTCTTCCAGTACTGTACTTATAGCTGAAAGAAATGGAAATCAGCTTCTTTCAGTGAAGATTAAGGGGCTGGGTTATTGTAGAATAGTATACTTTGGAGGGCTTTAAAAAGTGACTTGGATGTGATGTCCCACTCCTCTTCTCAAAGATCCTATTTTCTCCAGAATGAAGCATAATTCACATAGCAATAGAACTCCATGGAATCATTAAGACTCGTGCTGAGTTTCCACAGACCCCATTTTCACTTTTCCAATGGACTCTACCTGCTGTGTTGGAACTAAGAATTAATGGAGGAGCTAGAAAAACTTTTGAATGGCGCAGAGATTTATTTTTGTGTCATAGTCTGAAGTTATTTTAGTTCCCAAGTCTTAAAAAGTCTTCTAAAAATGTGGCTGCAGGTATCAGTTATTGTTAAAAAAATTACTGGAATGCATTAATTGACAGGTCATCTGGTGTAGCTTAGTAAAATATAATCCTCATTTATTCTTTCAATTTCAGTAAACTTTATTGACATTTGTTAAGGATTGCTGAGGTCATAATTAATGCTTTACTGAGATTCAAAATCTCCAAAAACATTTTTATCAGAGGTTTTGGAGGGGATGGGTGCGCTAAATATATATTTTGCTTCTCATTTGGAAATATTAGGTCTTGTATTTGAAAATGAGTCCCGAAATAACTTCAAGGAGGCTGGTATCTTGTCATCAAATCACCCTTTATTTATACATCCATAGTATCTGACACTTACCCAGCTACTTGAGACCCGGCTCCTTGAGTGAGCAGAACTCCTGATACTCCTGTTTATATCTGTCAGCCAAGACTCCCTGATTGGACCGGTTTAACAGGCCCAATCAGGGAACTCATATTCTGAGGTACACCTAGCTAACCTCATTTCAATCACTACGTACCGCACTCCAGAGGCTTGAGCACAAAACTGAAATTCCAAGCTGCCATCTAGCATAGAGCTACCTTGTCAGTGGGACTGTTTCACCAAAATGTCCATCCTCTCAGCTGGACGTGCAAGAAATCACAGCACAATTCCAAATGAGATTAAAGCAGTTCCTTCTCATTGTCCTGGTCAATAATTATCCATGAACCAACATTATAAAAACCATCATTTGGTCATACGGAACTTGCTGAAAAAGATATGTTTTGTAGAAACTTTTCACCATCCACTCATCAGGACTATTGCATGAATATAAATTTGAGGGTAAAGCAAACGTTTGTACCATTTGAGAGGGCAGATTAGTTTGGCAAGTGGACTCTCCTTAACAGATGCTTGGCTATGGTGAATGCACCTGTTAAATGATGATTGACTCCCAGGTTTTGTTTAAATTTTAAACAAGGCAGATTAACACAGTTTGGTCCAGTCATTGTCCTGAGAAATAAATTAGGGAATGGTTATCTCCTATTTCATTGAGTTGAAATTGGTGCAGTTCATGAGTATATTCTTTCCTTCTACAAAGAATAGGACCCTGTGCATTAGTACATGTAGCTTTCAGTTCATGTTCCTTCTCATTTTCTTTTCTTGGGTGGGATTCTCGGAGGTATATGTGTGGCAGTGACTTTCTAAAACAGAAAATCAGTGCTGGGAATGGATCAGCACACTGATCAGTGAATGCACAGCTTCAGAGCAACTTCCAGTATATGCAAGTGCATCATACTGTCTTTTCTCATCATAAAACAGATCTTGTATTTAACACGTTATTGTTTGTCAGAACTTGGATATGTACAAGTTGGTTGTTTCCCACAATACAATGGTGACTGCAAAAATGTTTTGTTGAGGGGACTCAGTGATATAGTGGTAATATCACTGGATTAGTAATCCAGGACCCCAGACTAATGTTTTGGGCACATTGGTTTGAATCCCACCACAGCAGGCGGTGACATTTGAAGTCAAGGAAAAAGAGATTCTGGAATGAAAGGCCAGTTGAACCATTGTTATTTAAAAAAGAAGTCCAACTGGTTCATTAATGTCCATTAGGGGACAAAATCTGTGATCTTCACCTGGTCTGGTTTACGTGCGACTCCAGATCAAGAGCAATGCAACTGACTCTTAACTGCCCTCTGAAATGGCTTGAATGCCACTTGGTTCAAGTGCAAGTTGGGACGGGCAACAAAAGCTTAGCTTGCCAGGGATTCCCATATTCCATACAAGGCAAAAAAATGCTGTAAAAGACTAAGGAACATCTTGACATCAGGAAAGGCATTTTCAAAATTTTGGTTAGTCACCTTTAAGCAAGAGCTGCCCTGCAGTGGGGGTTGTGCGGGGAATCCACCAAAGGCTGTAATGTGGCAAGGGAAGAATGAAAAGAAACAACAAATGGAAAGGAACGCTGTTGTGGAGGAGGGGGAGTTCTCAATACCTGCTTGGAGCAGAAAGACATTTGTTGCTGAGACTTGGAAGAAGCAATCATTATAAGCCAATATATCCAGCAACACAGCAGGGCAGCATCACAAGAATTACACTGGTACATGTTACATATAGAACAACTCTTAATTTGAAGCTCGACATAGTTTAAAATGAATTTTAGCTGAAGTTCTTTCATTTAATGGTTAGCAATACTGATTGATGGGTCTAAACAAGACACAGGAAATCTTATATCCACAATCATTTGGAAAGGAAACAGGTATTGTAGTCACTGCTCTACAAGTTAACCTTATCTGAACTGATATTGAACACCTGATATCCCCATGTCAGATACAGGACAATAGTCCCGTTAAACCTTAGATTGAGGAAATCACTGCCTTTCTTTCAATTGGCTGTAATTCTAATGCCTGGGACTCTGACCACTTGGACCTGTCAATCAGCATTGAAATAAAAACAGCAGTAGGGCCTCCTGCAATGGTGGCACATAATAAAGAAACACACTGAAAATTTTAAATGGTCTTTAAAAGGGGAAAGAGAACAATTTACATTAAAGGAAAACAGAGTAGGTAAAATGCTGCAATGTATTCAGCTCTGATTAACTGAGAATAAATGGGGCAGACATAGTGTCCAATGCACTCTATCCACTGATTGAGAGAAAGTAACAGCCTCTATTGTACTTTCATCAAAAAGACGCGACTGTGTGTCAGAAGTTAGATTTTTGACTGACTAATAACCCGGCCTGACATCATTCAGCATTGATTGACTGATTCTAAAAGAGGTCAACAATTGAACAAGTGTTCATTTCAGATAATGTTTGATCTGAGATTCTCTGAAAAGGCGAAGTACTTTCTGGATTTGAGAGTGATATACCGAAGCTTTTTTTGTATGTGACACAAGCTAAAATGGTGAGTCAATTCCATGCACCAGGGAAATGGCTCTGGGTGTCTTACACAGAATGCCACAGTAAAATTCCACTATCTTGAAACTTCAGCCTTCACGATTACAGGTGGCTTTTCTGAATCAGGCAGCCTCACGACCAGCTCCTCACAAGACCACGTGAAATAGCATGGCAGGGTCAAAATAATCACGAATTCAACACGAGTTACTCCTCTTAGTGTCACGGTCAGTGACTAAAATACTGATATCATCGAAAATATCATGTATCATCATTGCACAAAGATTTGATTCCACATTGAGTAAGGATATGACTCCTCTCAAGGGGTGTTGATGGCCTAGAGGAATTGTCACTGACCTCATAATCTGGAGACTGAGGTAATGCTCTGAGGACCAGAGTCTAAAACCTGCTGATGGTGGGATTTGCGCAATAAATACCTGGAAGACTCTCATGATGACAGTGAAATGATTGTCAGGAGGGAGAAACAAAATATCTGGTTCACTAATATCCTTTAGGGAAGGAAACTGCTGTCCTTACCTGCTCTGGCCTACATGTGACTCCAGATCCACACAAAAATGTGATTGACTCTTCACTGCCCTCTGGGTAATAAATGCTGGTCCTACAAACACTCAGCGCCTAATAGGCGAATGTTTCTTTCCAATTAGACACCAACAATAGGATTGAGGCTTTCTAAACTGGACAATATGTAATAATTTCTGATTGTAACAGCTCTCATTCTTGACAAAAAATAATATCTGTCAAGATTTGCAAATAAGGAGCTTCTGAAAATGGAACGTAGGCAGATTTACGAGCTGTAAGCATGTTGTGCTACTGTACATTCAATGAAGCAAAAGAGGGATGTAAAAATATTCTAAGTAATATAAAGGTTCTTGTTCCTTTGTCACAGATTTGTTGGTCTCAAACAGCTGCATTCCATTCCTCGGCTCAGCGGAGGGCTTCGATTTTCAGACCCTGCTGCTTGATGAGGAGCGGGGGAGACTGCTAGTAGGAGCCAAGGATCACATATTCCTACTCAACTTAGATGATCTGAACAAAAACATCAGAAAGGTCAGAGAACATCATTCAGTTTATTTGTTCAAAGTTAAATTCATTTTATCTCTTTATCATTCCAAAAAAAATGTCAATTTCCTTGGGCTAAAATCGAGATCATTCCCATTTACCATAGCGCTCACGTCTAATAGGTACCGGAATGTCATGAGTATTGGTGCATTGGAGGTCCTTCTTTGGCACACTTGGTCCTTCTTTGGCACACTTGGTCCTTACTGGCATATTTGGTTCTTGTTGGCACACTCGGTTCATTGTCATGCTTGAGTCAGTCACTGCTGATATGAGAACAGCATTTTGCATCAATGCAACTTTCTAATGTAGTTTACTTTTGGAATGAAGATCTGAGCTCCTGGGTCCAGTTCATTAGATTTATTCAAGAGGGAGCTGCATGTGGCTCTTGCGGATAAAGGAATCAAGGGGAATGGGGAGAAAGTGGAAATGGATTACTGAGATTGCATGATCAGCCATGGTCATATTAAGTAGTGGTGCAGGATCAGGGCCGAATGGCCTACTCCAGCACCTATTTTCTATGTTTCTACATTTCTATGATAGTGATAACACTGCTGTTTGTGGGAGCTTGCTGTGTGTCAGTCAGCTGTTTCAAATATCACATTTCAACAGTGACCACTTTATACAGTTCACTGTAAAGCTCATTTGAACATAAACTGTCATGAACAGTGCTAATATTTCTTCCGCAGTGAAGTGGTTTGTGTAGAGACATGGAATAATTTACACTTCGGAAGGAGACCATTTGCCCCATCTTTCTCAATCCCTTGGAACAATCTAGACAGTTCCACTCAGTTCTGATGAAAGGTCCTGATCCGAAAAGTCGACTTTCCTGCTTCTCTGATGCTGCATGACATGTTGTGTTCCTTCAGCTCCACACGGTGTTGAGTTCCACTCCCCTGACCAATCCACATCACCCTGCAATATAATTTCCCACATTGCTCATTCAGTTACCTCTGGGAATCATTGATTCTTTCAACCTCCACCAGCCTCAAGGGCAAATCAATCCAAGTTATCATCAGTGACTGTTAAAAATGTCCTCACACATCTCCCCTGCATCCTTTGCTCAAAATTTGAAATCTGTGTTTGCTGGTCCTTGTAAAATCAGCTACTTGGAAGAGTTTTCTCTTGCCTAGCTTATCTCTTACTTAACATCTCTCTATGATGTTCCCTTGTTCACATCCCCTGTAAGGATAGCAGCCCTAGCCTTTTCAACCTAAGCTTGTTACTAACTGGCTTCCCAACTCTAGAACCATCCTGATAAATCTCCTTTGCATCTTCTCATGGGCCTTCATATCTTTCTGAAAGTGTGGTGACTGGAACTGGATGCAATATACCAATCAGGATGTGCCTTGATTCAGTATAACCTCCCTGCTTTTGTAATCTAGGCCTTTACCATGAAGGTCATGACCCTATAGGAGTTAATAACTACTCTCCCTATGTCCTGCTACCTTCATCGTTCTTCCCAATTGTATCTGACCTAGTTTTCACTTGAAAAATTCACCTGATGTGCATCAAACAGATTTTATGTTTCTTCATAAACTCTGTCTCCCTCGTCATCCCAAGTGCCCATCACCTTTCACCCTTGATGGTATGTACCAAGCTATAACTGAAGTATCTCTTTCCTAAAGATCACCCATTTTTCCATTGTAGTTTTTGCTCTCTGTCTTTGGTACCATTTTATCCTGGCTTCTCATCCCATTGTAATTAATCCTCTTCCAGTTCAGAAGTTCTATATGAGATTATCCCTTGCTTGCGCCTGTGACCAGTGGGGTGCCGCAAGGATTGGTGCTGGATCCACTGATTTTTGTTATTTACATAAATGATTTGGATATGAATACAGGAGGAATGGTTAGTAAGCTTGTAGATGACACCAAAGTTGGTGGTATAGTAGACAGTGAAGAAGGTTATCTATGATTACAAAGAGATCTTGATCAGATGGGCCAATGGGCCGACAAGTGGCAGATGTAGATTAATTTAGATAAGTGTGAGGTGTTGCATTTTGGAAAGACAAATCAGGGCAGGACTTATACAGTTAATGGTAAGGTCCTGAGGAGTGTTGCCGAGCAAAGAGACCTTGGAGTGCAGGTTCGTAGTTCCTTGAAGGTGTGCAGAGGACTGTGAAACTTTGCAAGTATGCAGAGGACTGTGAAACTTTGCAGAGGAACAGAGATACATTGAGTGAGTGGGCAAAGGTCTGGCAGATGGAATACAATGTAAATAAATGTGAAGTCATACATTTTGGTAGGAGTAATAGTAAAAAGGATTATTACTTGAATGGTAAAAAGTTGCAGCATGCTGCTATGGAGAGGGACCTGGGTGTCCTTGTGCATGAATCACAGAAGGTAGGTCAGCAGGTACAACAAGTAATTAGGAAGGCAAATGGAATTTTGTCTTTCATTGCTAAAGGGATTGAAATAAAAAGCAGAGAGGTTATGTTGCAGCTGTACAAGGTGCTGGTGAGGCCACACCTGGAGTACTGTGTGAGTTTTGGTCTCCTTACTTGAGAAAGGATGTACTGGCACTGGAGGGGGTGCAAAGGAGGTTCACTAGGTTGATTCCGGAGTTGAGGGGGTTGGTTTATGAGGAGAGACTGAGTAGATTGGGATTATATTCATTGGAATTCAGAAGATTGAGGGGGGATCTTATAGAAACATATAAAATTATGAAGGGAATAGATAAGATAGAAGTAGAGAGGATGTTTCCACTGGCAGGTGAAGCTAGGACAAGAGGGCATAGCCTCAAGATTAGAGGGAGTAGATTTAGGACTGAACTGAGAAGGAATTTCTTCACCCAGAGGGTTGTTAATCTATGGAATTCCTTGTCCAGTGAAGTAGTTGACGCTACTTCAGTAAATGTTTTTAAAAAAAAGTAGATTTTTTTTGAACAATAAAGGAATTAAGGGATACGGTGAGAACATGGGTAAGTGGATCTGAGTCCACGAAAGGATCAGCCATGATCTTATTGAATGGCGGAGCAGGCTCGAAGGGCCAGACGGCCTACTCCTGCTCCTAGTTCTTATGTTCTTATGTTATGAGTCACAGGGAGACAGGATGGTGAAGAAGGCGTTTAGTACACTTTCCTTTATTGGTCAGTGCATTCACTATTGGAGTTGGGATGTGATGTTGCAACTGAATAGCTCATTGGTGAGGCTACTTTTAGAATACTGCATTCAATTCTGGTCTCCCTGCTATAGGAAAGATGTTGTTAAACTTGAAAAGGTGTAGAAAAGATTTACAAGGATGTTGCTGGGATTGGAGGGTTTGAGCGATAGGGAGAGGTTGAATACGCTGGGGCTGTTTTCTATGCAGCATTGGAGACTGAGGGTTGACTTTTTAGAGGTTTATAAAATCTTGAGGGGCATGGATAGAGTGAATAGCCAAGGTCTTTTTCCCAGGGTAGCGGAGTCCAAAACTAGAGGACATAGTTTTCAGGTGAGAGGGGAAAAATTTAACACAGATCAAAGTGGCACCTCTTTGACAAAGAGGGTGGTGTGTGTATGGAATGAACTGCCAGAGGAAGTGGTGGAGACTGGTACAATTACAGCATTTAAAAGGCATCTGGATGGGTACATGAATAGGAAGGGTTTAGAGAGATATGGGCCAAATACTGGCAAATGGGACTAGATTAATTTAGGACACTTGGTTGACCTGGACAAGTTGGACCAAAGGGTCTGTTTCCATGCTGTTCTACTCTATGACTCTAATCTCAACCTACTAAATTATGATCACACTTACGCAAATAGTCCACCACACATATTTAATCCATTTAGCCCACCTAGGTTCCCAGCAGCTGATCCCACAATGCTTCCTTTCCCATGGAACCACTAAGACCAAGGACATAATATCTCCTGATTGGAGGAAGAATTACAATGGTAAATATACGTGGAAAAATCTTTTTAATTTGACAGCAAACTAGTTCTGAGGTTTACACGTTGGAATAATTTAACCTTGGAAGAGATATAAGCATTTGGTGTAGATCAGGAGAAACTATTCCTTCTCAAAAGAATTGCGAACTAGAAGACACTGATATAAGATAATTTCCAAAACAAGGAAATGTGAGGTGAGAAAAGCCATTTCCCTCAGCGAGTAGTCAGGGTGTGGAACACACTGCCTGGAAATGTGGTGGAGACAGGTTCGATTGAGGCATTCAAGAGGATATTAGATGATTATTTAAATAGAAACAATGTGTAATTGGGAAAAGGCAGGAAAATGGCTTGAAGTCATAATGGTCATTCAGAAGCCAGACAAACAGTCTGCCTCTGCACCAGAACAATGCTGAGATTTGGTAATTTTCCTAGATGGTTACATTTTATAGATTGTTGATGTGATTATACTTAAAAGATACATTTAAGTCCTTAGCAGCTGCTATTTTGAAAACAAGCCTCTGGTGACAATAACCTTTTACCATTTTGTGAACCATAACCGTTGCGGGATGTCTCAGCAGTCTCCTCCAGCTCCTGACTAGCATAATTGTATGCTGTACAATTTGAGAAGGTCGAGAATATTTAGAGGATAAAATGACTGTAACAAACTTCAAACAAATATTCATTCTCCAGGATAGCAGCAGAACCTTTTCCCTGTTTATATTTATTTATTAGTGGAATTCTAATTGTTCAGACCTGACTTTTATGGGAGCTCCATGTCCTGTTCATAACATGAATTCAATTTATCAGGGAAACTGAAAGCTGATGTTCAGAGATTAATTTAAAATTCTTGTGGCTCTAATTAACTTGGAAATGGTTGGTTTCTCAGTTGATATTCAAAGTGACTGAACCCTAGTACTGATGAATGAAAAAGAACTGATGTGGTTAGTTTAATGAATTTTTCAACTTGCTCTTTGTGGGATAACATTTGTTTTAAACATTTCTAGAAGTGGATTTTTAAAATGAGGATTCAATGCATTTCTGTTTGCACTATCATGATAACTTACTTTTAAACCATGTTTATTTGACAATCAAATCCAATGAGGAAGTCTTCTTTACAAATCAGAAG